AAAATAAATAAGTGCAAAAACTAAAAGCTTTGTAATTTTTTTTTTTTTTTTTTGGAAAATAGGCAATGGAAAGCTTTATAGTTTTTTTTTGTTTTTTTTTTAAATAGGTCATGGGTAAAGCTTTATATATATATTAATGACTAACTTGTAAGAGTAGAAAGGATTTGATTTTTTTAAAATAAAATTTAAATTTAAATTTTATAAATAAAAAAATAAGTATTAAAAAATTTTTTTTGATGAGATTTGATTTAATTTAATTTTAAATTAATTAAAATTTAATATAATTATCCAATACGAAAAGATTAATACTAATATATATATATATATATTTGAAAATAGGCAATGGATAAAGCTTTATAGTTTATTCTCTAAAATAATGTGGACATTAAAACTTATCTTATTCTACTTCTTTTTTTCAAATAATTCTCTTCGGCTGCACCTGGGCCTAAAGGCCCACTGGCATTAGCCAGCTTGCTAGGTGCATTCCCTCTTCCCCTGAACGGGTTTCGAATCCGCCCCATGTCAAAATGTTCAAAAAAAAAAAAAAATTCTCTTCGGCTGTCATTTTGTTATTATATTGATATATTTATCAAAAAGTCCCAAATTTTACTATCTAAATTATTTTAAATTATGAAATAAAAGTTTTAAATAAAAATTTTAAATAAAAAAATTTCATAATAATAAGAGTCACTTATCATATTAAAATTTTTATTTATTTTATAATATAACATAATTTAAATTGTAAAATAAATTTTCATTTATCAAATTCATGTATACTTGCAAAATATTTTACAAGTTTGAGTCACGTTAAGTTCATACCATCATTTCCAAATAAACTTAATTGTAGTTAGAGATTTTAAAGGTCTTGACCATGATAAACCTAATATGAAGAACCTGGAGAAAACTAAATGTTCACAGGCACTGGGCAAAACCTCCCCCGTTATGCATGTGGTGATTATATTATCTTCCAATAAAAATTGAGAGGGCCACAAAAGGACGTA